AGCGTTCGCCGATGAAGTGTGGAATTCGTACGAATGAAACGAACCAGTGGATCGTGAAACTGAACCGTCGCTGTCATTCTCCCATCCGCGTGTCCCATCTGTTCAGCGTCAGAAATCGCGGAGAAGAATCGAAGCCTTGCCCCCGGACCCGTTCAACGTATGTTCCTTCGTTTTTCGCGTTCGGATGGACATCTCGCAGCTGATTGCCATCAAACGCCAGAGTTTCCGGATGGTGGGCTATTCACGTGGGGTGGATTTCGGGGAAAAAAGGAAAACCGCTTCTCACTGGATGAAACACCGACCCCTCCGCTCTCTCCACCAACCGTGACGCCACGTTTCAGCGGCAACGCAGGTGAGGGGATGGAATTCGGGCACAAGATTGTTAATTACGCGGCTGAATTATATTTTCTCAGAGTGGTGATCAGCGGGTTCAAACAGATATTGGATCCTGAGACCGAAGCAAATACGCAGGCGCATATCTGACGGGTGCCAATGGGGAACTGCGACTACAATATCACGATCATAACCGTTGCCGCCACTCTCACTCAGTGCGGCCGTGAGGATGTTCGCCGGGTCGGGAACAGAAGGAAAAAACATATCGGAAAGCATTTATGCAAATTCTCTCCCTTTGCGGAAAAACCTTGTGAGAGCTCTCTTCGAGCGGGGGACTCGTATTCGTTCGCTGGCCTACCGTCTCTATTGAGTTCCGTCCCGAGTCCTCCTCCGAGCCGAAACTCGACAAACCGAATCTGTCGACCGCGGACCCCTGGACGCAGCGGCTCAGATGACGTTGCGGAACGCGAGTTAATCAAAGAATTACAATGTGTCTCGGATCGTGTTCCGCGGGAGGTTCCAATGTTTGTCGAAATCTTGATTGATTCGATCCACAACACTCTTCCTCTCCATCGAGTTATCCGAGTCGTCGGGTCCTTCACCCCGCGAACTGTTCGAGCCATAAATTCGCCGCACACTCGCAAGCGACAGAGCCCGAATTCCGGGGAAAGCTTCCACCCGAGCCAGCTCGGAGCATCAATCCAAATGCACTAATGAGAGACACAGCGATTCTCTTCTTCTCTCTCACTGAGACCTCTCGTTTTCTCTCGTAGAACGACCGAATGGTTGGGCCGACCGACGGGCGAATCAACGAGTGAGTGGGCGACCGACCGAAACGTGGAACAACGCACTGACATTCGAAGGTCATTTACAAAGTGTAAGAAGGAATGGGAACGATCTCTCTTTTCCTCGCTCTTCTTTTTGTTTCAGCTCATGGAGCGAGCAGCTTCTGCATGGACTCGACCTAAACTCCGACAGATATTGAGCTGAGGGGAAATTCCGTGACGTCGTGACGCCCCGACCGTCGCTTCATCTCGGGTTCCACTGAATATTTCCAGGGATTCCCAGGGGTTCGCTCGGGGTCTCTACTCGGTATCCCGATCCGGCCTCTATGACTCTGGGTGCCTGAGTCCAATGAAAACTTCAGGGAAACAGGCATATCAACGGCGCCAATCGGTGCAACGGCCGCGGCTCCGCAACGGGAATTCATTCTCTCGTTTTTCTTTTGATTCTCTCTCTTCCGAAGAGGAGACAGACCTCGTTTGATGGAGAACTGAGGCACTCGATGGAGAGGAGACTGTTGTTCGTCGAGCTAACCGACTTGACTGGCTATCTGCAGACTGGATGAGTGAAAACAGAGGACAAGGCGGGAGACATAAGCGGAAGCACGACCGGAAGTCAGAATGAGTGAACCGGCCGCTGTTGTGACTGTTGCAACAGAAGAGCATCACTGCGGGGGCTAAACTCCTACCAACAAATACGAAGCTTCTTCGCTTCGTCCTTGGACTTGACATCCCAATGGTGTCAAATGGAAGACGTTCTCCCTGGATCCCGGAGCTCGCATAAGATTCCAATCCTCGGCCTTCATTATCGAGCGAGGTTACGACTCCGCCGACTACAATAATAATCGAGTCTCCCATCGAAACCTACGCACTGGAGGAACCAGGTGGAACGTGGAGCAGTGGGGTGGGTGGAGAAGCTCGCGCTCAATCAACAAGATCGGAAGGAGCTTCCCACAAATATCGGTGTACGGAATCGTCCGCTTGTGAAGGGCTGTCGCGAAGAGCTAGCTGCAAACGTATCCGACTTTGATTGAGCACGTTGGACGAGTTATTGAGGACCGGTGAGTTCTCCGCCGTCGGTCCCCCCGCGCCGCTTTTCTCGAAGAGCCAAGAGGATCGAATGGGAGATATTCTCACTCGCGGGTACTGCGAGGAATACATTTCAGACGAATAGATAAAGAATTCTCTGCTACGAGAGCACAGCATTTCGAAACTGCAATCCGATGTCTTTTTCGCAGTTCGAAGATAGCAGGAGAGCGCGCTGGCTCCTTTCCGCTCCTGTTCGCTATGAGCGGATGTTTGAGCGGAAATTGGCTGTGGGGTAGTTTGTCGATTGTTGCCTCTGAGGTGAGGACATTCCGTCGATACCAGACTTATGAGAGAGAAAGAACTCCTTCAGCCATCAGCGAACTGGTTCGCGTCGAGCTTAAAATTCGAGAAAAGCAATGCAAAAGCTCTAGATGCATAGTCCGGAAGAGAAGCCTTGCAGAAGAGAGGAATCTAAATTTCGGGTAGTTTCTCTCGATAGCTCGGGACTCCTGTCGAAATTTTCTCTCATGGTATTCCTCGAGGGACGCGGGTCGAGTTCAAGAGTTTCGTATATACGCGTCGAGCTCGGCGATATTCTATTGCAAAGTCTGAGCCAGAATCACAGGCGTCAGAAGACATTCAGGACGCTGGATGAGACATCTTGCAGCGTGCTGACGGACGAGGAGGAGGAAACTAAGAACGGGACCGGAGAACGTATGCGCTCCCCGGTGCTTTGAACAGATTTCGTCGCTCCCGGCGGGCTAAATGGGGAAATGGAAATGGTGTCATTGGCTCAATTTGCCTAGAGCGCAACACGGCGGAAGCCGACAGCCATGTGATACCGGAAGGAACATGGCAGAGCAACAATAAAACCACGACCTAAATGAAACTCATTGCTCGGAGGGCAGAGCAATAGGCATCTAACCGCGGATCGAAGCATCCGATTCGGACCGATTCAAGTTCGATTCCCAGGTCGTTCGGAGGACATTCGCCTGTTCACCACATCGACAAACATGGATCCCCGCCGGGTTATTGGGAATGTTCTCGATTATTCGTGAGTGCTCTCCAGACCTAGGCCCTCTTCTCGATGAGATAGCCTCTCCCTGCTCGTCTTCTCGATGCGGGTGGATCATTAATCAATTCCGGGGACTTGGGTTTAGCGGAACTAGTAAGACAGTGAGCTCCGTTCAATCGGAACACGTCGATACCGGTCGACTTTGCTCCGATTAGACGGAGGATTCGATCATTCGACGCGCCGGCATGAAGGAGTGTGTTGTGACATAGTTCAGTCGAATGTCCCCTAGAATTCCGCCGCGACGACGACGCGACGGGAACAGTCACGACAGTAGCGGCGCTGCCGGTAGCATCGAGCCTATTCCGCTAAACTAAGCGTATTTGCTGGCGGAAATTAACCAACGTTCGGATGACGTAGAATGACATGGTGGAAGGTCTTTCTCGCACAGCTCGCGGACGCACCTCCGGAAGTCACAACACGGAGGCGGCGGCGTTTGCTCAAAGAGTTCTGTTGTGTTCTAGGGCGAGGAGACAGTCGACGAGCGGACAGGGGATTGACAGAGTCGCCCCTAAGCCCTGGGATTTTTTTTATTCCCGGGAATTAAGAGAGAGGGAGGTTGAGGGAGGGAGCACATATCTAATCAGGGAACTCCTGGGACAATTAAGCGAGGAGCTTCCATCTGAGTGTTCATTCCACGACCCGAACCCAAAATATACAATAGATGGCGGTCGACGCTCCCACGGAAAATCTGGCTAAGATCGGTGCGGGTTAATGAGGATTTTCAGGTAGAAAACGGCGCGCGAGGAACCGACCGAAACGATAATGCGTCACCGCTCGGACCGATTTGGCAATCATTGAATGCCTATGTTTATGAATGGGATCTGTTGACCCAACGCGATCTCGCAGGCATCTTTTTCTGCCCCTCGATTCGACGCGGGGCGCAGATTCCCGAGAGATCCTGATTTGCATTTTTTTTGGTCCCAGAGATGAACGGCATGAATCGGAGAATGCGCAGCCTGCTCACGAAGGATGCGCTCATCCTTTTATCACTCATTCATCTCGATGATCAGGATCATGTCAGGCTCGCGGCAAAGATAAGAGCCCCGCCATCCTTGTGCCTGATGTCAAGGCGAAAAGAGCCCAGCCTCGAAATCTCGGAGAATTCGAATATCCTTGCGCATCGATGATCACCGTCTGATTTCAGAACAGTGTCGTTTCAGCTAATCACGATTCGAGCTCGATCGTTTACGACAAATAGGCATCGTAGATTATCATCCGCTCCCGTCCCGCTCCGCTCAATAGAACCCTGGCACTCGTGGCAGGCCGAACTGCTAGTTTCTGAAAACGTTGTTGATCGTCCTGTGTTTCAAAGTGAATGTCTTGACTGTGTCGAGTCAAGACATTACTCAGCCGGGTAACTTTTTGAAAGTAAGTCAAAGCAGCGATGGTCTCCGGATTCCCGGTGTCCAGCACCTTTCAGATTCGTTGACACCTGCCTAACGAACGATGTCCGAGCTCGACACTCTCCGCAGCTCCGAGTCTCTTGGGGGGGGGGGGGAAATCCGGGCTCGCATGGAGCTTTTACTCCGAATTCGGAGCGCTTGCCGGCCCCGATGTATGTTTTTCGCGGAACAATGTTTCCGTACTTGTCCGTGCATCAACGTCCCGCAGCGGGCGGGTTTAATTTGATTGTGCCGACATCATCGCGCATGGTCTTCGCTGACTCGCTATATCAAAACACTCTTTCACGCTGGACACAGGGAACGACTAACTTAGTTACATTTAAATGAAGGTTGTGAGGAAAGAAGAATTAAAACAATCCACGCTTTTTGAATACCCACCTTGAGCATGGTTTTTGTCAGCTCGGTGCCGAGCTGCTCGGTATCGAGAGATTTCTTGCCGTCGCATTTGGCAGTCGGAAGCGCTTTTATGAAAGATCCCTTCTTATTTACGAGATCTTTGACACCCAGCTTGAACAGCATAATTGCGTCGTATATCAACGCTACTTCTGTCTGGAACGAAAGGGAAGGATTATAAAACGTTCTGCAGGGGCTTTATCTCCGGAGAGGAGCCTGTTTCTGTTTCTAGAGAATGACCTTGAGCTGCCAGTACATGCTTGGGATGGAACCTCCCGGATTATCTCGGAGCTCGCTCTAATCAATCAAGAGAATTTCCCGCCCATATCGGTCTCGAATCTTTAGGGTTGTGGAAGAATAACAGACGGATATAGAAATCGATATTTATCCGTGACGGAATACCGAGAGCTTCCCCGACGATTCGAGATGCTATTCGAGCTTGGAGTCGGGCGATTCGCGACCAGATAACGATATGACGCTCCGGCAAACACAGATCCGCTCACTGATTAGCCGAAAACTCGTCGGGTTCGAACAATAGACAGCCGTGTGTGGAACGGAAGTTGGGAAGCCGGAAGTCTAGCCACGGACATCGGAGCTCTCCGGAACGGTTGGCAGGCGACTGGAATCGCGGCAAGGCCCTTACTTGCCGCGCCGAATCCTTGCCTGTATGAGTAGGCACATAGGAGGCTCTTTTGAGGTAATAAGCGCGCGAGAGATTTTGGAGATCGGCTCCGCACTTCCTTCCCGAGCTCATAGGTTTTATTCTCCGGCGCGGCGTCGAAGGTTCCTATGGAAGCTTCATCGATACAGACTCGCTCCTACATACCGTCCTTTCATTTCGTTCTCATAATTGGGTAGCGTGCTCCGTCCTACTCCGAAACAATTCCACGCATCGACAGAGAGAGGAAGGATGAATAAAAGTTTGCATTAGACGCGGGGAATTTCCGTGGAATCCGGGCAAGGGAGAATTGAAGGAGCGGAGAGCAGAACAGCTCGCAATCTACATAGTTGATTTCCTGGCCGGGGAGTGGAGGATACCTTGCCTCTCCGAATATCGCTCTTCTCCCCTGTCGCTTCAGAAATCGCCCGGCGCTACGAATCCGGCCGTTCCTCCAAGAATTTCGGATTTCGGGACGGGACACGAAGCTCCTCGATTGTCCAGCATCGGAGGAGCAGACCGGGACATTGGGCAGCGTTCGAGTCATATTGAAATAATTTCTGCATATACTCGGATCGTTTTCGAGGTCAGCTCCCATTTATGGGGGACATACGTTTCCGCTCGAGCCAATGCGACGTGGTCATGAGAAGAACAGATACAAAGAGATCAGAGGGAGAAATAGTAGCGCGGGTCGGTGGAGGAAGTTTGCTTTCCTGCCCCTGCCACTTATCCTTCAGACTTGCTCAGCAAGGAGAAAGATTTCCCGAGAGCGAGAGGGCGGACGAAGAAAGTCGAGTGACCAACCCGCACAAAAAAAAGGAGGCGGCATCAGCAGCGAATGGTGCCTAAAATGGACCCCAAAGGACCATATAATAGCGGCCGCGGCAGCATGGGCACTAAAAGAATTGCGAGCGACGAACCGACGGACGGAAGAACGGACCCACCGACCGACCAGCGAGGCAACCAAGCAAACGGACAACACTGGCCGCCCAGCAAGGCTCCCGACGAATAGTAGGGAAGCGGAGATTGAGCAGAAATCTCGAACGAGCCGGAAAGAATGTCATTTTAAATAATAAATAATGCTGACACCGTCATCATCTCGCCGCGGTCGATGCGCCGCTCAGAGACTTGGCTGGCTATGGTCCGCCAGCGGATGCTTGTCATCGGAGCAAACGATGAGGATAAGCCGAAGGTACTGCGTGGGAACATGCGACGGCACTGATGGGTGCATTGTTGTCTCGCAGCAAAGCAGACGCTCCAACCCCGAGTGCTGCGGCGTGGAGTAATGAGGGGAATGAGAGTAAGACAGATGCGCTCGCGACACGTTGTAATGAACCTAATGCGACAAAGCGACGGCAAGGTTCTATGCTTTCCATATTGAATTTGCCCATGATCGAGATTGTGGGCAGTACCCCGTTCGGCCTTCTAGTGCCATGCGAGAGGTGCATCAGATTCTGGATCAGCAAAACGCTCGCTGCCTCGGTCTTTGCCTTGTAGAAGTCTGTCTGCTCTGCAGTGACGAAGGATCCATAGGATAGGCTACCAGTTTCAAAAAGTTGAGCACTCCTCGCCCTCATCCCCTGTGTCACTGGCAACTGAAAGCGTGCCCCCGAACTTCTCGGAGTGCGAGCCTGCTATCTCGCCTCTTCCTCGGATCTGAGTCGCTACATCGTGGTTTGATCTCTCGTGTATACGACGCGTCTCTCTGAGCTGCAAATTTTGCGCCATCAAGCTTTGCCATGTACGATGCCTGAGCTGTTCGGATGATGAGTTCGTCAAATCAATTCGCTCAATTCCCCGATTTACGTCACCCATCAGCGGGGCTTATAGCCTTACTCTGTGCTAAAATCAGCGGGGCTCACGAGACACGATTTAAGTCTACGCCCACTCCACGCTGTGAGCTCCACGATCCATGATATCCCCCAGACCTCGATTCCGAGGAGATTTCACTCGAAATCGCGCATCGTCGATTGTGATGATGTCGGACGAAAGATCGTACCGACACGCTCGAATATAAATCGGCAGGTGCACAGCGCGGGTCAGGTCGGCGCATACCGAAAAGTGAATGATTCCAGACCCAGTCGACCAGCTCCATCCGATCTTGGAGGAACAACGAGTTGGCGAGAAGATGTGGATCGGTTGTTGTGGAGCCATCCGGAAATTCAGCGAGACGATGAATTGGCTCCGGGACAAGGTCCGACGCTGTTAGCGAGTCCCCTGTTTTCCACGGCCTTCCTTCGCTCGGGCCGCGCCCGGAGTCTGAGGGGGGCGATGCGATTACTACTCACGAGAACCTGCATTCTCCTTCCCTGGGCCCCTAGACGGAGAACAGGGGCCTCAGAGAACATTATTTGCATACGAGAGAGGCCGTTCGCTCTCGATCTTTATCACTCGACAGTTGTGCCTGCGAACGCGCGTCCGATGAGGAAGCGGACCGTCGGAACCGACAGCCCGTCTGAGGAGGAGCGGCATCTGGAAGTGCCCGCGGAGTGAGCGACCCACGCAGCAGAAAATGAGACGACAGACATTAACCTCCTGGGATCCATGGGATCCATCACGGGAGAGCGAGTCGAATCACTAGATGGAAGAATTTGCCATATTTTTCCTCTGCTTCATCCAGCTCTTCTGAAGCTTGTCCGTCTCTCGCTCAGAGCCGTCTCTCTCATCCAACATACATTCATATATCCCATGGCATTCTCCCGACGGCCTCGCCGACCGGTCGGCTCTATCCGGACCTACTGCCGGAATTTGAGTAGGAGACAGACCTTGATTCCCTGGAGTGTCGGCGAGTTTTGCAATGCAATCTCTCGCGTGCCTTTGCATTTTTCTCAGAGTCGTTTCCGCTCGAAATATTCACACCCTGTTCCAAGTCAGGTGTACCCAGCGCCTACGCGGAGCGGAAGATCTAATTTTTCGATTCTCGTTTCCTTGCTTTTGTACGATTTGCATGCTCGTTCTCCGAAACCCGTCTCGATGTCTATGGGTCTCGAAGGCTCCGAAGTAATGATGAAGCCCTCTGATCTACTGCACGAAGTCCTCCAGAATATTCTATACCCCATGGGGAAAGCTGATGAGTGTACTCACTTCGAGACCGGGTGGGAAATTGGCATCGTCCTCAGCTCCTTCGTCTTCCTCCGACTCGTCTGCGTCCTCGCGTTTCGATAAGCGTTTCCTGGAAGACCCACCGGAAATCGTCAAGAAAAATCGAGAATATCGGAGTTGAGCCGATGCAGTGACCATCATAACGTATTTCTGAATTTCGTGGATGAAGACATAGGTGATCTATGTACCCATATTAATGACGACACAGAACGCGAAAAGAGGGCGCGCCTCCGGGCATCGTCCGCATTCTTATACTCATTGAGATGATGCTAATCTGATGTTATTGCTTCAGATAATGTCACGGGAGCCATCGGTCTACAGTGGTCAATGACGAAGGGACCGTTTTCGGACCTGAGCTCGGAATCGGGTAAACGAATGAAGACTCAGAGCGAGACCTCGCCCAACTCACTTCCTTCAGCCAGGAATGACGCCAACGAGAGCGCGACGCTGCCAAAAAATGGCGGGAAAACTCGCAGGCGCAAGTATTGCTGCATGATCATCTCGTTGTGCGCCGTGCTCAAAATTTTGCTTTTCGCTGCTCTCGCTCTTACGAGCATGAAATCTTGGCCATCGTTCTTCACGAAGACTCTCGATCAGCATCCTGGGTCAGGTCAACCCGGAATTCTCGAATTCTCGACCCGGAACATCACAGCCCTGGCACGCCGCGCCGCTCCCGTCGTGAAACTCTCTGGTACGTCTGGAAAAGCAGTCGAATCAACCCTTTCGCAAGATAAGGAACATGGAGGTTTACCAAAAAATGGGGGACGGCTCAGATTCACGTGCGAATCCCGGTCAACGCTATAAAGTGCGCTGCGAGTTCCGGATCCAGAAGTCTCCCAGAGATCATCGCCCGAAAGCTGAGCGAAAGTTCAGCCGAGCATGCTCGTCACGTGGACAAAGGGGCTCGAAGCGGATTGCTCGAATATTTGACATTCGAATTCGTGGATTTGACGAGTGTCTCCCGACCACGAAGCTCCTGGATATTCCATACAGAATTATTTGCCGGATTAGACGTGATTCCGATTTGTTGCAGATTTTTCCTTGGATATTATGAGCGATGTAATTGACGACACGCTGCTCCTTGTCAAGCAATCGGACAATTCTCCTGATGGGATGCAGCATTTCGATACGCTCCCGAGAGATCTCAATTGCGAGAGCCACTTCGGATGCGATTGGATCACGGTAGACATCGAGAAGGATCTGGAGCGCTTGGAGGACGCTTCAGGAGACGATTCAGGTCTGACGTTGTCTCCCTACTTCACTTGAATTCCAGGGATCTCTCGACACTCGCTTTTAAGATATCGTCTCTTTGCAGGAATCAGCGTTCCTCTTCTTCTCGGGAATTTCTATTCGAGTGCCAAGTACGCGAAGAATTCCACAACATACTGGTACACTTGTTTCGAAAAGGGGATCAATGGGACCATGAAGATCGCTTGGCCTTCGTCTGAGGACGATCTAGACAGACCGCTGGAGATCTCAAGTTTGACTGTGAGCTGGAACTACGAAAGTCACGGGAGAGCGGAGGTGTTAGGCCATCGCTGGATCATAGGTCAACGGGGAAATTCATTCAGACGTCCAATAACAAGACTTCCTGTTCCCCCTTCAGGTCGACAAGTCCGACCTCCGGTTCAGCCGGAATAGCGCTCGCCACTCGTGTCGCGTCGGGAGGAACCCGAATAGGGCTAACGTAGCCTCTGAAGAGGCCCGCTTGAGGGAATCTTTCCCCGAATTCATGTCTGAATTCATTTCGTCAAATTTCACCACAGTCCTTCAAGAGGGTCTGGACAGACAAGGCACTGTTCGAGAAATCTTGGAGAAGAAATCCCAGGGAAGCGGGAACAAGTCTCGAAGCGAAAATTAATAAAACTGACGAGCAATATCGATCCGATATCAAAGAATATCCCTCCTCGGGTATTTGAATGCAGCGGGGACATCCGGGTCACGCTCGACGACAATGTCTACATTGCCAGAAATTCCGGAGCTCTGAATGCTTGCGGATGCTGCCTAGGAATTCGTCCAGCGCTTCCCAGAATTTTTTATAGCGTCTGCCAGAAGGCGAGATCTTCCGGCAGACGTTCCCCGACGTATTCATTCTACGATGCCGGAAATTTAGGACATCCGCTCCGACGAGATTTCCCCGTGCACGGGAACCGAGGGTCGTGAAACAAAAATTCAGGTCCCGCTACCCTCCCCCTGCCATAAATATCGAGGGATAGACGCTGCGTATGCTGTATGAGATCCCTGCGGGTACCGACCAGCTCCACTTCCGATTCTGAAACTTTTCCGCCAATGGTGAGCTTGGCTCCGCGATGGGGAATCGGTGAAAAACGTTCAGAAGCAGCCGTGCCCAGACGCTCTGAGCCCTGATGGCCAGAGCAGGTGCACAGGGCGTACAAATATGTCGGCGTTGTCTCTGGCTCCGCGGGTCCTTGCAAGTCCGGCGACATGTACTCTGAGCGAAAGCGTCATCGTTCGTGCGTCGGTTATTGATTCATTTTTCCGCTCATTCGTTCATTCATACGTCCATCTGTCGAAGCAGCTTCGTCATCCGCATTGGACACGGAATGGTCGCAAACGAATCCGATAAGAAGGGGTTCTTGCTCGGCGTTGTACGTCGACGTCGTCAACAGCGACTACGAGCAGCGGCGGTGCATTGGTCGTGACCAGTGAGCCGTGCTAAGTTTGTTTCCCGTCCCTGCGAACGTTTTTCCCGTCTCGCAAATGGAGTTCCCCTCGCTTGCCTGCCACCCAGTCAAGCAACGAAGCAAGCCAACGACCAGCTAGCCTGGTGGATTCCTTCGTCTTGCTCCGCTCCACCTTCCCCTCCGTCAGCGGACTCTACGCGGTGTCGATGCTTTCTTTGCGGTAGAACAGCTCGCTCCGACCGCGTCCGTTCCTACGTACGTACGTCGTTGCGTCGGTAGACGCGGAGCATATAGTGGGGATGCCGCGCACGTTTCGCCACTTTAGCGTCTTCTTAACGTTGCTACCGAGCGCTGCTACGAATTCTCTCGACTTGCTCTTAGCGGTGGAGCCGGTAGCTCCTCCCGGGTACCTCGAAGGTCTAAGCTGCAGCCATTGTCGGCTATGACGACGACCGGCACTGCTACATGGGTATTGACAAAACCTTTCCGTCGGCATGCACTCCAACGGCTCATTTCCCACGAGCTTGTAATGATTTCAACACCTGACCGAGGGTCTGGAGAATGGCGAACAGATTTTTGCAGCGTAATCGGTGGGGAGGGAGATGTTGACAATGAATGTTGATTTCGATAGAGAAATAGAACTGAATATCGAGTACCCTAAAATCCCGGAGATAAGGAACCCACTTTTTCTTTTTCTAAAAACTTTTGAAGATATTTCTGCTGGTTATTAGCTACTGAAAATTTGTTGGGCCAGATTTCCGGCCCAAAAAAGCATGGAGCCAGATTTATATAAGAATAAAGTGGGATATTAGGGGGTCCCTAATATCCCCGGGATTTTGGGGTATTTGAAAATGTTTCAGTCTCCGACTAGCGGTGATCGATTGCGTAGTTCGTCTGATCCACTCACACATGCGTCGCATTCGTCTTCCTGGCTTGGCGTTGATTCGGACCGTTTTTCTGTAAGGCGTGCAATGAAGAAGTCTTTGAGTACCCTGAGCTCATCCGATTCCGCTTCCACGGTATTCAGAGGATCGACGGCAAGGCAGGAGAATCGTTAATCGAGTCACATCGGCAAGTACCTTCACCGTAGGCGTATCCTGTCCCCTCAATAGGTCGTCGGCGATGTGATGCTTCATGTCAACCAGTCTCAGAGCCGTGATGTTCGCTCGCGAATGCATGAAATCGTTGAGTTTAGCCACGTGGAAATCCTGGGACGAGAGGTCAATGCACCCTTAGCCAGTCTAAACATGTCCCTCTACGTATCCTCAACAATGCGTGTCCGATAACCGATTTCCGGCAAATCATTCGTATTATTCAAATGATTTATAGCTCCGTCGGGAGGAGAGAGGAAGTGCGCCGCCGCGGCGACTGAGCCAGCCGAGAAGTCTACGCGGCCGGCAGCGAACCAAAAACCCGAGTTCGACAAAGTCTGCTCAGTTTTTGCTTCGCTGAATATTAGATCAAGGGAAAGTTCTGATTGGAACTGATGAACGTCGTCGTGTCTCGACATCTTGTTCTGCTCTTCAAAGAGTTCCGGGCTGAGAACTCAGTCAGATCGATTATTATTATTATTAAGCGTTCGTCGGCGGGATACAAAGACGCTTCTGTGATACCCGCTCGTTTTTCTGACAGTCGTTAGCGACCATGGAATAATTATTCGGGCTCCATAATGCGGGGAATCACACTGACCAGAGAAAGGAAGAAGTAGTTGTAATTCTCGTTGAGCATCGCGACCTGCATGGCCTGTTTCAGGAAAGACTCAATTTTTCCTTCTTTGTCTTTTTCCCGTTCCTCCTGTTCCAGGTCGACGACGATGTTCCGAATGTCCCGCTCTTTGATTTGGCGCAGCAGAGTTCGGAAAGTTTCTCCCTTATCTTTTTTGAAATAATTGACGTCGATACCATCTTCCTGTAGCTCCTGCAGCAGACGTCGCATCTCGATAATGTCTGAAATGGAAAAGTTCCGTGAGGGGTGAACGTTGTCGTCGAAGTCGGAGCGTGTTTCAAAATCTTTCTGCTCGAATCAGAGTCGCTCGCTCCGTTTTTTCCTCCCGCGGGAGCTCACTGGGGATCCAGTGGACGGCTGGCTAAGTGAGTAATCGTTGTTACTTCTCCCAACGCTTTGAACTTCTCGTTCGATGCTCGGATACACGATCTCTTTCAGCTGTTGCTACCTCTCCCGAGCTCCGAGGGCAGAGTTTTAATCCGCGGCGATATGAGCAGGACCGTGCTCGAATTAAAGCTGCTCGCTTCAGCGACCAGCCGAAGCTGCCGCAGCAACGGCCGCCGGAGAATTGTAACCCACAAGAGCGGCGACCGCGTTCCTAGCCGGCATAGACGACATGTGTCACCATTCCTCTCTGCTGAACAATCGAACCAATGAAAGAACAAACGTGCGGGGCGTCAGTTGGACGACCCGATGAACGGACTCTGACTGTTCGCCCTCATCATGTTCGCTTGCTCGCTCGCTCGCTGGCCCTACGCCCAGTCTCATTCCAGCGTAGTGGCAAAGTCGGCTTGTTCTCCAAAGGGGGGAATGAGTTCTCTTCGCAATTAGCCCGAATGGCCACAAATTAGAACAGCTGCGAACAGAAGCAGCCAATATTCTCTTCGAAGTCGCTTTCACGATCGACGGTTCCCTCATCTGCTCCCTATCCTGAACGATTCAAGATACCATGACCTTGTTCCCTCGCTTGAGAGAGAATTCCTATTGAGTTCTGCGGCCGCCTGCGCTCCCGGGATTAGGCGTAAACTTCTTTCGCGGCCATCGGCAACTTTGTGCTCGACTCCAGGGGGAGAATCTCTGGCTTTCGGCTTCTGGGAGATGTCACGAGCATGAATTAGAGGTATCGATCGACAGCTCGATACTCCCCCCGAGACGGGATATAACGCCAGCGAATAGATCAACTCGGTTCTCGCCCCGGAGAGCCAGATCGAAGCCATTCCTCTCGGAAAAGTACTGTCTTGCGTCGACGTCGGGGAGCAGTCGTCGCTGGTCGGCGCAGCCGAAGCGATTGACTTAATGTACAAAACTAATCAAGATGATGGTTTCGAAGCGAGCAGAAAAAAGAAAGATATGAAAAATGTACCATGTTGTGAGCGTGTCGTCTCCGTACATGTTTTGATTAAAGACTTAGACAGACGTAGGACGGGGCTCAGAGAACGACGCCGTCGTCGACGGCACAAGCCAGAGGACACACGAGGAAGACAAAAGCAGGGAGCAGGACGTTTTCATTGTGCGCTGCCTGCGGAATCTCGGAGAAAACGTCACTGGCTTTAGGGAGGGGGCGGTAGCATAGCGAAGACGATCCTACTAACCGTCGTCGCTCTCGTAGATGAGAGCTATGTTTTTCCATTTCCAGTACTCCATAAGAGCCGTCTGGGCCTCTGCAATCTGTACGGGGTCGGGAAAAAGATTGAGAGAGTGCTCATCATCCACCAGGGAGGGGTCCCAGCGGAACTCGATGTGGGGAAGGTCGAAGGTCCGAGCCATGGAGCTCACGTGGAGGGACGATACCGGTGAAGTTGGCCCGAAAACGACGTTCACGTTCGATTGCATTAAGGCGCACACTGCAATAGCATTCCTCAGGGTTTTCGCTAATTAAAATTCGAAGAATTCCCGATTCTCTTGATCTTGCCGATAGGTAAGGCGAGGATCGATGCTTATCGGACTCACTGCTCTGGATAGCTTCTAGAATGTCGTCATTCTGGATCACTCTCGATACGGCCTTGAGATTCGAGTCCACTAGCTTGGAAGCTATGTAATGGAAGTGCTTCGCCAAGTCTTGCTGCTCAACAATTATGCCTGCAAAAAACGGGGGATACAATGAGTAAATGGAAGACAGCGACGGGGTGGGCAGGCGAGCCAGCCAGCCGGAGCGCGACTGCGAGGGGGCAAAGCTCAGGGAGAACTCCGCGTATCACTACTTTATATGATGTCTGCGAAACCGGGAGAAACAAATTTGTTTTTTCTTTCTCTCTGTGCGACGTAAAAATCTTCGCAGCCACTTGAATTAGAACTACGCGAGACTCATTCATTACACGGGCTGTTCCCGAAAACATATTAAAACGACTTGAACAAGCTGAGAGCGAGCAGCCCGTTCCTCGTGCAAGGGGGAGGGATCCAGGCGCGTTTCCAGAGGAGATGTTCACTTTTTCCATCGATTTGTCGCGGGTTGAGCCGAGATCCAGGATGCGACTTCGAGCTCACGAAGGGTCGCTAATACATGGATAAATACCGAAAATAGGCCTACCGAACCCGGAACGAAGCTTGGAGAAATCATCTCAAATGGACGCGCAAGATCGCTTGGATTATCGGAACTTATGTGTGCTTCGATCTGAAAATAACTCGGGTATTTCGTAGCTCGAATCAACCTTCTCATAACCACCTCTAGAGCCGATTTTAATATGAGCTCTCGTCTCGATCGAATCATGAGCGGATATCAATACGGTCGTTTGAAAAAGAAGTCGACGTTTCACAACCTCGTCATCGAGTCACATTCAGATGGGTCTCCGCGAGAGTCCCCTCCGAGCGCCCCACAATATTTTTTAATTCTACGCAACGAACCCACAATCTATCGAATGCTCAGATAGTCATCCCTAGGAGCTCGTCGACCAGGCTGTATGCCCATCTGTTTCGCGAGTCGAACCGAGGAAATGTAGCTATTATATGATCTTGACGACATCATCGATGAACGATGAGCATCGGGCAGGGACTAACTCTGTAGGTGGGGACGCACTGGTCACTGCGAGCAATAAGTTGCTCGGCAACCGTCCCCGGATAGACCTGCTTTCCAATCGGAGCGGGTCGACCAGGCGACGCCGATGTCGAATTATTGAGCATCCTTTCCCATATTAACAATTCCCAGATATCTGATGCTGCCCGGGGCGATTGTCGTAAAGGCGATATTCATCGTTTAGTGAGCGACGCACACACCTCCGGAGTCATTGAGTTGAGCAAGGAACCATTCGGAAATGAAAGAGACGATCCAGTTCACCCGGACAGCTCGGAAAGTAAGCGCATTCTCGTCGAAAGAGGGAGAGTTTCACTGCCTCGACTCCGGGTATTCAGAGTCCATAACGTCTGTTCGCTCTGCATTCCCGGGGCCGAGCTCCCCATGCGCGTCCCACTGCTCGTCCTGCTCTGTGCGCGAAAAGGGGAACGGGTCTTTTATTCCTTCGCAACAGTTTCGTTTCCTGTTTTCACAATTTGTGTCCGACAAATTAGCGAAACATCCTTCGTATTCATGGAGCAGCGCGGAGTCGGCGACTCCGGCTTACTCTCGCTGAATCGTTCATTTCTCCTCTCTCCGAAATTCCCTTCCTGAAATCTGCCGCCGCCCTCGCTTGATGTGCTCGTCCCTCTGAGTAGCATTATTTTGCTCGGGAGAAAAAAGAGGAACATGCAGCATGTTTCTCTTGCATTCGCCCTGCTCTCTATTCGAATCAGGAAATATGCGCATATGATGGCCTCCCAGCGGCGAACGAGGCGCAGTGGAAATTTCTAAACAATCCGAGTATCGCTGCATTGCTTGCGAGCCTTATCATATTCGTCTCCCGCTCTGCTCTGCTCGATTTTGTTCCGGCTTTCGACTTGTACTTCTCGTTCGCCCTCGAACAGATGATATCCATTTGGGGGAGCGATTCAAGGATCGATCGTTCTCCTCTGCATATGCCATTTTTGTATTTCATTCGGAGAGGTCTCCTGAGCGAAGGGCGATTTTTCGTACCGGATTCTTCCCGAGCGACCTTGAGAAGGTTGACGATTCCCTTTGTGACGATGGAAGTTGTGGGCCGCTTCCCGTGCAACGCAGTCGGTTCCAGACTCGAAGCAGTGTGCTCCAGGACGAGACACCTTCTCCTCTGAGGTCTGTGAATCTCACGTTGGGAGATCCGATGTATAGGTACTTATCCTCTACACGTCAATCCATTCGTCTATCAATGCGATCAGCGATCCATCGTCGGGAGTCGCCGGGGAAGGGTTCGTTACACGACTCCTTCAGAGGTGTCTTTTGCGAAATTCCTCCGAAGACGACGTTCGACGCATACAATCGAAACACCCTATCTTCCTATCGATCGATCGTCGCGTCGTCGTCCGAAAACGAAGTGCATTCTGAACGTTCCGAGCGACGGAATCGAGGATCGGCGACGAACGTTCTCGTCAATTTCTCAGACGGGATTCTCCTCCACCTTGGAAGAAAAATTCGGGCGAGAGCTTCCTCCAAGGAACTTTGCTCTTGTCGCCGTCATCATCGGGACTACGGCACTCGTTATTGACAGGAACAGCCCCGCCTGTCTCGATCTCTCAGCCTCATTAGTTCCTGCATGAGGGAGTATAGCGCTCGTTTGCTTGCTTGCAATGCCTATCTCTGATTCAATCTCCGATATTCCATTTCGACTACGCTGAGCGACTCGCACCAGGAAGTCGATCGCTGAAGAATCTAGTGGATTACTCGCGATACAATATTCCGAGCGATGGAGTCAGTGCTGTTATACAAGGGTTGAACAGGTCACTCCGAGCTCAGTCTCCGGAACTCCGCTAGTTCTACGGGAGAATCTTGGGTGGACATCCCCGAGGCTGCAGGCGATTTCGCATGGGCGGAATACGCGCATCGACCCCTATTCATCGTCGACTCACGTATAACGCTCGAAAGAGAGGGGAACTCCGGGAACGATGAGACGCCTGCGGTTCAACGCAAAACCCCGTCCGACGTCATGAGAGCGGTGACGATGTAACGAGAAGCCATTCAACTCCCCAATCACCTCTCGATTCAGAGGTTTGACTTCTATCCGGCGAGGACTCACGACAACTTCCTCCGACTCGAATTTCAAGAAGAGATTAACAAGTCGACTCGGGAGTTCAAAGTTCTAGCTCCGTGTCAGGACACCTGGTGAATCGGGCCATGGTTCGACAAATCGGAAGAAGTTCAGCCTAATTTTCTCCGCCCGCCCCCTGCGAATTCTGCACGAATCACTAAGCCCGCACTTTTTCCGCACCGGGAATTCAACATTGCGGTCATCTTCTGACACCGGACTACCATCGGCTCAATTTAGGCACGTTACGGCGAGGAATTCTCAGCCGGCTCGCCGTGGTGTCGGCGTATGGAAAGAGTTTGGGGAGCCTCGCGTGAGGACAAGAAGGGAACTTTCGTCGGGACAGCAGTTACGATACTCAGGTATGAACGCTGTCGGTGAGTGAGTGAGTCGGTCGGTTCCGAGTCCCGCACTGATCCCTTCGCTGAGTGGAGAGGAAGAGAGAAGAAGACGACGTCGATTCCTGCTTCGATCATGTCGGTTTTATGCAGTTCACGGCGGACGAGCGATCCCTGCTCTCAGTCGCGCAGAATTCCCGCCCGCCTGCCGGTCGCTTCGTTCGTCCGTCCGTCCGCCTTTTCGGAAGATCGACCGTTCGGTTCGCTTCCACTGCTGCCGCCGCTACCGCCGTCGCCGTCGTCGACTTATTTGGGCCTGTTGGGAGAGGAGCGCGTCTGCCTGTGTTGGTAAATTTTTCACCCAGTGTGGATCTGGGACGACTCGGAGGCGACACTACCAGCCGCGGGAGTCGTCTGGCAAAACTTCGTCCATTCAGTTCCCCTCCGCTCTTTCCTGTGTAAGAGCGCGAGTGTGGGTCGAGGTCAGCCCCAAGCGGCCGAGGACGCCCTGTCATTCCAGTTGCTGTCTCGCGAGCTGCGAATCTCTTGTATCACCCGCCACCACGCTCGGACTTCCTGAGCGCGTTCCCACGGAATCGAGTCGGAGCCGCCGGGCTGATTCCAACGCGACCGCCGTCGAGTTCTCCTCGCGTCCTCAATATGGGTTCCCGCCTGATTCCGAGCGGAAGCATCTTCTGACAGTCTCTGCCGGTTTTCTGAGGTATCTGAAAGAAAACCTCCTGCACGGAGGGAATGCCCCACGCGAGGCTCACAAGCTGCAACGCGTTGCGCACCCCCGCCCCTTCCTTTCTCTACCTCCCGCGAGGTCCCCGTCACCGGATTTGCATGACCCATGCTCTCAGATCCGGCAGAACGTGCCGCGATCGCGTTCAGCGTGTCAGCGTGACAAACTCTGAGCGAAAACACTTGAAATCTCTCCATCTGTTTCTGAGCGAATTCTAGCAGTTCCATCGTTCGCGTGCCGAGACACATGCGCTATGCGACAGTGAGGTCGCTCATTTATCGAGGATTCCAGATGCGGATTCCCCAGATATTTCCGGCTGTTTTTCGGGGCGAAAGGATAGAGCGAACTAGACAGTATTGCCCAGAAGAGCCCCCTTGTCGATGTAAACATTGTCAACAGCAGACGCGTCGGCGGCCTACTCCCGAATAGGCCGAGTGGGCATCAGAAACTGTGTGCTGTTCGAACTCATGCACAGTGTCGGGAACATCCGAATCCCGGGCTGGAGTTGACGGATCCTTGGTTCGTCTCTAACGCGAGCCATCCTGAGATATTCAATGTTTCGAAGCAAATTCGAGGCGTGTTGTCGATGGGAAATTCGTCATTCGACTAAATCCCCAACTACCGATTTGGTCTCGTTTTCGGAGAGTTTGAGATGATACTTTCCATCATCAATATTGGAGGAACTCACCGATAGTACCCACGTCTTTAGGCGCGCGGTTCGATTGAGCCGAAGCCGCTCCGAAGCTCAGCCCCGAACACAAGATCACTAGAAACCACATTTCGCACCGCGGCGAGGAGCCCGCTAATCACAAATCCTCGCTCGACGTTTGATGGATCACCGCTGCACTTGATTGGAGCCTGGACGGCCTATCTATCACACCTCCGACGGCCACAGCATGACGGTTTATTAATTCCAAAACACACAGCGTGTCCGAGTCTGTGCGCTCGCTTCTCGTGAGGTGACTGTCCGGAAGGGTCGGTCGCCACTTTTAGAATGGCTGGCCATTGCTGCTGGGCCGTCGTCGCTGCCTCTGTTCAGCCGGCGGGCGGCGCGAGAAGAGCAGAGATTCGCTTTAGAGTGACTCGTCTCTTACGCTCAACTCGCAGCTCAGTGAGATGGTCAGTCGATGTGGGGCTAGAATCGCTCGTGTTGTTCGCAAGTCTGCGAATCGGCATATGGCTCATCGATGGCTCTTCTCCGGTCCTCATCGCTATGTTCCCGGGTCATGCGAGAGCTCGGATTGACTAACTGACGATGAGTCGACAGCCCGAATTACGGAGTCGGCGATTCCAGCCAGAAATCTTATCACCCATTCAGATGACGATGACTCTCACGGCATTCATTCGCAGGCAGACGAGACAAGGCCGGATCAAAGCTTCGATTCTCCGAATTTTCCGAATCCAAATCCGAATTCCACAGGATCGGCCAGCGACACGATGAGCAAGAGCCGACAACTCAGATGGGAAAACGAACGCGATATCTCGGGAGAAATCGGTGATGCTGAGTAAAGATAATGCTTTCGGCTCGAATTTTCCCTCCCTTGACGCGAAATGATAATTCGCCAACCGTTCGGCGACTCAAGGTGAGAATTTGAATCGCATTCCTTTGAGCTTGTGGATTAATAATGAGTTCAGACGTCGCGCTTAGAATAGAAGTCCGCACCGCAATCGTCGACTCATTGCTGCGGCGAAGACGCCATCCGAAATTGTATGGGGCCCCCAATCGGAACGTGGTCTCGACCTCCTGGCGGGGCAAGCCCTCTGATGCGGAATTTTTGAAGGAACAATTTCCCGAAGTCAATTTCACTTCGGGATCGGAGAGGAGCAGCAAACGACTAATGAGCCAAGCCGCGAGGATTCAGAGTCCAGGAACGTTGACCTCAGCCGAATTCGGGATGAACACCCGCGTTGAAGGGCAATCTGGTCTCGCTCGATTCCGGAGTAGAGCAGTAGATCAATGGCACCAGGAAGATCAATGAAGATCGGAGAATCTTGCCACCACCAAGATATCACATAGATACGCATTTCATGTCAGACTCGAGGGACATGGTTGTCACCTGGAATATCGCTCTTACCTACATATGAATGAGCCCACTCTCAGAATGACAGATCAGGAATGGGGAACGGAGAATATGTCGTCAAACCTTTCGTAATAGAGACCTCCGGCGTGGGGGCTGAAGAGGCCAGCCGGTTTTCTGGAGGCACTGGCGACCTCTTCTTTATGTGTCGATCACACCCATTCTGTTCCCTACCTTAGAATAATAATAAAAACCGTACAAATGGCGGGAGCGGAGGATGATCCAGCGAAGTATCGTTGTCGGTGGAAAGATTCTGTTATCGAATCTGCGGCTGGCGACCCGGCGTCTGACGAGCGAGAGGAACACGGGCCGGCAGGACCGGCTCCTCTCGAGGCGGCCTTGGCAACAATGCAGAACCGTGCCGTCGCCGATTCTGTCGGTGCAAGATCGGCTAAGTGAATCCCCGTAGTATAATAGTGAGTCGTTCTACACTGACGTTCCTACAACGTGTAGCACGTCGGAGAGGGGATTTAGTGAGCTGCAAGCGTGAATGCAGCCGCATCAAGGAGGAAGAATGGCTACTAAACATGAGCCACGAGTGACCGACTTGCTAAACAGACTCAGGGCTAATGTACGGCGGCCGGTGATTTGACGTAATCCGCTGCTCGGAGTCATTTTTTCGATGCCATTGACCAAGCGCCCGTCCGACCGGGCGGTCGGTCGGCTCTCAGCTGAGCCAACTACCTCCGTCATCCTAATCCTGACGAATGCAGGCACCGCGAACCGACGCTTACTCGCCCGCTTGCAGGCTGAGTGAACTGCTGGTGGTCATTTTTGTTCTTTCTGCTCCTGCCTCCACGCCTCTGGCGCCTATATGTGTTCCGACGCCGGTCAGGGAAGTGCATAAGTGCACCGCGATGAATTCGCGGAATAACGTAGGAAGAGCGCTTGCGTGTTTTCCCTCATGTCGGCTCCCTGTGCACTGTGCGTACTCCTCGTATCTCGAGGAGCTTCTGCAATGTTGAATTCGGATGAATTTCGTCATGAGCCGATACATGAGTCATTCGTGACGTGAATCGATAATTCATGATCGGGTTGATGCCGCAGCGGTTCAGTCGCGTTGCTCTTGATGAGAGAGTCCATCTTGGCATCCCAAAGCTGGGATTGGAAGCATTTTCATTCCTGCGTGTTCGTATATGCACTTCTTTAGTCCCTTTATCTATTGTTGGTGATTGTCGGAGTTCCTTTTTCCGAAACAAAAGGGAAACCTAGTCCAAAGCATTCGAGGAGAACAATCCACACGAGCGGGGAACGAGACCGGAGAAAAGTGAGGAGATAAAAATGGGGGTAAGACGAATAGATTGTACGGAAGTGTGTTCGCTCGGAGAAAGAGCCGCGGACGCAACGCTACTTGAGAGTTGAGTACGTTTTTTCGGCTTGTTTCCAGTGACCGAATCGTAGCGGTGCCAAGGAAAAGCGTAGTTTGGTGACACGTTCGCCGGCTCCGTCTTGGGTTCTTCTTGTCGCAGGAGTCACTCGACTGAGTCCACAGAAACGGCGACGGAGACGACTGGCGCGGAAAATGCCGTGTCGGGGACTGCCGTCGACGTCATGTACGAACAGCGGAGGTTTTTATCCCGGAGGGGCGTTAATGTCGCTATGTGAGCTCCCCGAGACGGGAGGAGCCGAGCGACGGTGATAGTGAACTGCCAAAGGCTTGAATTCGGGATTTCGTTAGGAGTCTTTGAAAGTTCCGCAGCTTGCCCGCGGCGGTAGAGATCAGCGGTCCGAATGGCCAATCCGGGGCGAGCAGATGGCTTGCGCATCGATTGATTCGATGAATCCATTTCGTCGCTGCTCATTCTCACAAGAGCGTCTATCAGACTCATTCCCTCTTCCGGTCGCTCGTCAATTTCGGCTCGAGCGGCTCCGTCGGTGCGTTGGAGACGCCCATTCCCATGGGAGGCTCCGACCGAGAGGAAACTTCGTCAAGAATCGAATGCTACCCACTCATTCTTCCATGACTCCCGGTTTCCGTGGACAGAGACAGAGGAAAGACTCCAAAGGCCGCGAGAAAATTCGCGGAAACTCGTACGCTGTATACGCCTGCTTAGAAAGAGCGGCAGGATACGAACACAACTATTGCACGTTTCGATTCCAGAGGAGGAAACCACACGATGATCGACCCGGAACAGTCTGCTGACCCACTCCGCTATCGACGGCGATTCCATCGGACGAATTCGAATTTTTCAGCGAGGCGAAAATCCGTCTTGTGCCGCATTCCGAATTCCAAAGAATCGATCAAGCTTTAAATGTTAATTGTGAAATCCGTTGGGCGGAAAGCCATTTGCTCTCTGTGACCTCGGGGTGCGCAGCGGCATCCATCGGAATAGAGCCGGAGAGGGAGCAGCGCAAGGTAAAGTGTAGTCCTCGCGTCGGAATCGCTCAGCTCTGCGGTTCCGGGGTCGGAAAACACTGGCAACAGAAAGTCGGCAACGAGCGTAGGTCCTCATTACATTCCAAGCGCTCATTCCATAGTGAAGTCTCGCTACAATGGAACCCTTTACAGCGAATTTTCAGTAAATAAAAGTCCTCTGTCCCGTCCGGCTGGCTCGCCATAGGAACAATGTTGGAAATCTTCCGTTTCAGCGAACTTCCATAACAACTTAGAGATTCTGCCGTTCCCGTGAGCTCCGTTGTACCGAGATTCGCCGGTATCCATCACGCTCGACAGAAGTATCTAGCTGGAGAGATCGTCTCACCGTGGTCCGACAAGCTCGAATCTACGCGATATCTCCGATCATAAATTATACTTTTATGATGAAGATACCGAATTATAAAATTAACGATCGGCGAACGACGACAAACCATCTTGTCGCGACAGTGTTCTCAAATCTCACCTTCGATTCTGATTCGATATCCGAGAAACGCCTATCATGATGTATGAACTTCCCGGACAACTTCTGTCCGGTCCGACGCCCCATGATAATTATTATTCTTCGTCGTGATGGAGGGCTAAATACAAGAGACCGCTCGAATCAGGTTGGAGATAATCTGTCGCCTCTTCATAGGGAAAAAATACCTTGATGAGGCCTTCAAAACTGCATCAGGGAATGTAGCAATGAAGATGGTTCCTCCCACGGAGTGCGCCTCAGGTGCCTTATGAAGCTTTAATGGGAAAGGATGCGGATCCCTCGAACGCAACCGCGTCCACGGGAACCTCTCGACTCGGCGAATCACTGCAGGTGGAGCAGCATTTCTCGACAGCGATCATAGCCCCGCGGCCTTGTCCCAGCGCACTTCGCGGATAGCTTCGCGCCGTGAGTGACAATTCTTGGGTTTCGAGGACGCTCCCGTCGTGAAGGTACACTCCGCAGCGCTTGCGGAATCATCTGAAACCGAGAAACGGGGAGCTTGCGACTGCGAAGCAAACTGGGTAGCACCTCCTGTGTCGCTGTAACCCAAGGGATCCCAAGGGTTCCCTCAAACCTGACAGAAGGGCTCTGCAAGCCACGATAACGCAGCTTCGAGAGCCCCGAGGAGGCCTCTGCAGTTCCCAGATTGGCCACGAAACTCGTTGAAAATCAATAGGGAAAACCTTTGCTCCGCTATTTGCTATATGTCGCACCGACTGAGCACCGAAGACGGCCGACGGACGGAGCGACGGACCAGCCAACCAATCATTCGACCGTCCCCGCACTTCTTTTTCTTTTATTACAGGACATCGATCACGTCTGCGTCGCTTGAACCAAACGCTGAGC